TGATTTCCATGGTAAATTCGAAATCTACTGCTCCGCTTACACCAGTTTTGGTTAAATCTGCCTTTCCTCGAGATCTCCATGAATAAAAATTTTTCAAGCATTTGCTTGTTTTCTTTCTTTTGAGCGCCAATATTTTTCATCGATAATAAACCCCAACGTTCCTCTTCTCAGCTTCATCACTTCAATGATGATGTGAATTGCATTCGGTAAATATGGCAGTTCTTTTTATATATGGTCCAATTTTCTGAAAAATCATAGACTTTTGAATTCAGCTCTGATTTCGAGCCAAGATCCAAATTGGCGTATCACGGAGGTACAACTGATACATAAAAACGGTAAAATCGTACTTTTTCAAGTTTTGGTCGCTAAAAACAAAAGAAAAAAAGAAAGGCCCAACAAAATGCTATTAGGTTGACTAAATAAGTTCATTTTGGCATGCAAATTTTCATAAAAATTTTTCTTGTTGTTTTCTGTCCATGATTCTCTGTGGGAAAGTAGTTTTGAAATTTCCTCTATCACAAATGAATATTTAGGATTTTATCAACATCAAAGACAGTTATGCCTCAACATGGCTATCACAAAAACTCAATTCTTTGATTTCCTAAGTTTCGTTTTCATGCTGTAATGGATGTAGACAACAGGGTTCGATTTTTGGATACAGAGGAGTTTTCCCTATTCAGAGAATAACAATAAAAAATGTGATCTACCATTTTGAAAACCTTTTATCAAGAAAACCAAGTTGCCATTTACGCGCTGTGAGAGAATTGGGATTCTCACTTCTCTGCTGACTTTTTTCTTTAGAAGATAAGTTCTACTCAAACAGAGTTCAGACTCCAAATCCAATTTTTTTTGGAATGAACTCTTTTCAGGGATACCAAGGATTGGGCAAAAACTTGTCTGCAGCATTTGTAAGAGTCGCAAAAGCGACCGAACTTATTCAGCCAAGCTAACATTTCTGATTGTGGTTTTACAACTTATTTTTTAAAGTGAAAATAATGCTGATTTATTTATCTACAAATAATCGTGATTTTTGAGTGAATTTTTAATTAAGTTACTTATAAAATCTCCAGTATGCGTAGTAAAATAGGAGATATGTTACATGTTCAAGTGATTATAAAATACGAATTGAAATATAAAAGCTTTGATGCGGCCATCCAACATTAAACTGGAAATTTTGCCCTCCCGGATATCCCCGAGAAGGCGATCCAAAAATTAAGGTTTTGACACAACCCTAGCGGGAAGGTCAGACGCCCGTAGTACCTTGAGATACTGGGTTAAAACCGATGCAATTGTCGGAAGCGCTCGATGCACCCACAGATGCGTCGTACACTCCGCAGGCCAGGTGAGTCGCACACCTGTGCGAAGAGTGCCTAGAGAAAGGTGGAATGTGCGTGTTGCTGAAAAATCAATTCAGGCTGATGTGATGTCTGGTACAATATGTATCTCGGAAAAGCTCAAGGGCGTTGGCTTATAAGGTCGTTTTTTGATGCTAGTGCTTTCAGCTTGTAGGCAACAGTGTAATTTTCCTATTTTCTCCCAAGGTTTGCCTTCTTGTGCTGCACAGCTTTGGGAGATGACCGAAATAGTACATCTAGAATTTGTACATTACATTTGTATATATTTGCTTTTTGTTCGCTATTATCTCTATTTTGGGTCTATGAACAAACACATATCAAATGCGCCACTTATCACTTGAAATGGAAAAGATGTTCCGAATATACAAAAATCGCATTTGAGAATTCCCCATGATCCCTTCGACGTTAGAGTCGAAGTCCCGTTACAGGAGAATTGTTTTTGCAGCTTCAGGTATTTTGAAAATTACTTGTTTTAGTTGACTGCGAAGGATGCATATCCCTCAAGACTCGGCGCTTTCGTCTAGAAAACAAGGGATTGACACAGAAAGTAATGCAAAAGATACCGCCTCACCCGCATTTCCACTCAGATAATCCATAAAAATTAGATTTGTATGATTTAGAGCACAAACAAAGAGCAAAGAAACACATAGAGTC